TTCGCTCATCAATTATTAAGCTGTCCCAGGCTGACCCCAGAGTCCCCCACAGGCTGTCCCACAATTCTTTGCACAACTCCAAATCCCTGTTTGTCATGGACATGCTCTGGCATCTCTATCTGGGGTTTGAAACTTTGCTTTTCAGAAAATTGTGTTTGAAAATGCGATGTCAACATATGAGGGCTTGTTTATAGCAGCCAATGCCCTGCAGAAAGGAACAGTCGGGGGAGAGGAGAAGTCGATATCCAAGTAAAGCTGGGGAATTTGCTTCCTATTAGGAGTGTGAGTGTGTGTGTGTGTGTGAAGGAAGAGACCGCAGTAGTGGGTGGTCCAAGAGACCGTGGCTTCAGAGAGGAATCTCCCTTAAGACTTGCTGGATTTATCACTGTCCGGGCCAGCCATGGCAAACCCACACGCAGACGCAAATACAGACACACATGAACACACATGTATTTAGTTTTTATGGGATCTGGGCTGAGAAGCGCTCATCATATCCTCTCATTCAGCTCTCAAACGTCTAACCCAATTTTTCCACACCATCTTTTTTATATACCGTCTCCTTTTTCGCCCTGTCGCTCCCTAACTCGTCTATATTATTTTTTCTCACTCTCAATCGCCATCTATCTCTCTCTCCCACTCTCCTAGGCTTTCTCTCTGCAGGCCTCCTTTCAGACAGAGAGGGGTTTGTCAGGTGCCAAATCCCTGAGCTGAGAGATCAAAGGCAGACAAAGAGACTGGTGACTTACTGTTCTATTCTGGAAAGGCAAAAAATGGAATCCCTCATAGACCGGGACATCGCATTCTTCCCCCTTTTCTCCCCCAGCAGCTCTTTCACTCATTCAATCCTCCTCTCTGGCTTTAGTCTTTTTTTCCCTTTTGTCACTCTTCCCCCACCCCATCCCCATCCCTGTTGTCTCTAAGCTAAAGCACGTTTGGAGGAAAGGGGGCAACGAGGGTGGAGGGAGAGGGTTGTGGGAGTTAATGAGTAGTTTTGTCCGTGTGGTGGGGATTCTGCTGGCTGAATCGGTTGCACCGCGTGAGGGGAGGGGAAAACGGGAACTTCTGTTCAAGACAAAACCGTCGACGCAGCCATCTGCAAAAAATAGGAGTGCACAAAAGCTAATGATACAATGATAGCTACCCACACACGAGCCAACTACAACCCAGCTAAGTTTTCCTCTGAGTGGCAACAACCTACACACCAGGCTTTGAACAGCAATGGATGCTCCCTTGCACTGCAGCCAAATAAAACCACGTCTACCCACACACCCACCCACTGCAGCCCACCTTGAGTGACCCGCATGCAAAGCCTGATAGGCAAGCTATTCTGCGGCCTACACAACAAAGTATCCAATACACTGGGGACTGAAAGCATGAGAGAAAACTTGCGCTACAATAGCCATCCAAATGCCCCAGGAATATAACACCCAGCACACAGCTCACAGTAACTAGGCCTGCCCAGGCAGAACAATTGCCTCTCTTATAATCAAAAAAAGGGAATTAAGTTCAAACCACAGCATTTTCCCTCCTTTCAAGGCTGCGCTTTATCTTCTTTGGGTGATGAAAACTCGGCCACTCTTTTTTAGTCATAACAGACAGTGAGCACTCTTCAGATGAGCAGTCAGTGGCGTCCTCACAAAGCTGCTCTTTCAAAAACCGAAGCGATCAGCTTTCAGGACCTGAGGGCAAGGAGAGTCTCTCCTTCTCCTGCACCTTGAGGAGCCAGCGATCTCTATTCAACCTGCCTTTCTGACATATCCCTCTGCCTTTGTGTCTCCTCCATCTCTTTTTTTTCTCTTTTTCTCCCTGTGGACAGCAGTTTGTTGCTCAGGTGAGACTCCTGCTAGAGAGGATTACTATTCCAAGGGTGCTTTGTTTACCCCCTGGCTGCAGTGCTGAGCTGGATTCTTTTTTTAAACAAAAAAACAGCTTGGATGTATATGTCTATTCCAACCCAGACATGCATACAGATAATAAAAGACCCTCCACATCAATACACCTGAGCCACTGGCATATTAGCAGGGATAACTAGCTGCTGACCGTTAGCATCTGTCACTGGAACAGCAGGAGAGTGGAGCAGGTTAACTCATTAATTCCGTCACTGGGGGTTATTAATTACCTCCGGCCCTGACGGCGACGCGCAGCCACACGGCCAGCGAAACCCATCAGCGTGATGGATGAGGGACACACGGCCACCGAAACTGATCACCATGATTGATGACATACACTCGTCACATATCTTGACCTTGACCTACAGGGGAAAGGTCCCACACTAGCGGTGCCATCCTTTAAAATGCAAAACCAAAAAAGTCGGGTAGTGACATCTGGGTTGACATCCTTACTGGTGTTAATGAAGGCTAAGAACAAAGCCAGCGAGGCTAACGATGTTAATAACACACAAGCCAACCTTGCTGACAATCACTGCAGCTTTGCTAACGGTGGCCGGTGCCAGGGGGGGAAGGAGTTGCCAGCAGTTTGTCTGTCAAATGCTGGATGATTTATAACTGTATTTTCAGCAGCACCGATCCATCACCCAAGAGCTACCCACGACACTGCCCTAATTAAAATGTCAGTACCTGACACATAAGAGCACCAGCCAAAGGAGCAGATGAGCAAAGCACGTTGTAAAAATTAAAATTACAACAAAAGTAGACCCTGAGAGCAAG